ATATGTATATGTATACACAACAAACCGTACACCGTACACCGTACACCGTATACCGTATAGGTGACTCGCCCTTACTCGCCCACTCGATTTTGGGGGTTGGAAAAGCATCGCGTCGTGCTGCTGGCTGTGGCTCTGGCTGTGGCTGTGGCTCTGGCTCTGGCCTGGCCTTTCTCTTGCCCTGCAAAAAGTTTTCATTATAAACGAGAAAACAGTTGATGGTTCATTCGGTTCGGGACGTTCGAAGCGGAAGTATATGCCAAACGGCTAAGCAATCCATTTTTTTTCCAACGCTGGGATCGCGTCAATCCATCGGTGTTATTCTGCATTATTTCAAAAAATGTTAATGTTAATGTTGTTTTTGTTTTGTTTTGTATATTGCTGTTTTGGTTTTAATATTTTTTTAAAAGTGCCACAACTTTGTGCTAAAACGAGGAATCAGTTCTTTCCTTTCCTTTGAAAAAAAAAACTTATGTGCATAAATAAGTTTGGATCTCAAAGTAAAATCTCTTGAGAATGCAATGCGACCAGCTGTTTGACAATAAGTGGGTGTAAGACCTTTGGACAATAAGCTGTAACTCGCATTCAAACATTCAAAGTACAAGTAGAATCAAGGAGATTTACCGGTAAGAGCCTGAGAACCTGAGAACTGTTTACATACTACATTGTGTTTACCAGTAAGTATTTTAAACGGTCTCCTAATCCGCGGCATAGCATTTTAAACGAAAGGTGTTTAAAAGCATCTATTAGGTCGAAGGTAAAGCATATGGTGGGGCTCTATTTAGCTCTACTAATTAAACATCCGTACGTGAACTGGTGTGGTAACAGGTGTCCCTAAGAAATGTGTTTTTTGCAGTTAGTCCGCCGGTATATTGTCCTGCAACCTTAGTTGCTCACGTTATAAACTATGGAAAAAGCATTGTTGCATCCCAAAAATAGTTACCTTTTAAACACTACCAAAAGTAGACTTTTTTGAAGATATTGGAGCATAGTAAGAGTAAAGTAAAAGGTGCTGAACAAATACTAAATCACAAGCCTCTCTTTGTGGAAGATACATACATACATAGATCTATGTTTATATGTATTTTTGTGTGTGCAACACTTAATAGTAATCTTGTTTGACTATCTCGCAAGTCAGCGGATTTCAATTCTCCCCCGAATCCTTCAGGTGAATCCCCGAAGCTCCCCCGAACACAGCCAAGAGTAAAACTCACCGTCTGCTCACGGCTACGGGTGACACGGCTACACGACTTACAGCCCCATGTAAGAGTGTGTGTACTTACGCGCACCCATCCACTCACGTGTGTACATGTAAATGCAAATTACTCACTTAAGTTAATCCCAGAGCTATCGTTTAAAAGTCGTCGTATATGGGACACAGGGAATTTAGCAATTTAGCTATGCTTCTTGGAGTAACAGTCTTTGCAGAAAGAATCGAATATATCTTCAGTGTAGGTGCGTTTATTATAAACCAAAGGGTTACCTTCATGTACCTTCGGGGCAAGAGCATGACCATTCATGATCGTTCGTCGGGCAGCCAAGTGGGTGTGTATTATTCAACGAGCACAATAAGCAGCAGCGCTTTCAAATGTTACCGCTCTTGGCCTTTTTGTATATTCGTTCTTGCTATTGAGGCACAATTAAGTCGCGTTTGGTCGACACCAGCAGCAGCCCAACCAGTCAACCAGCCGACCAGCCGACCAGCCAACCAGCCAACCGTCGAACCAAGCAGACCAAGCCGCCAGTCAAACAAACAGTCAACCAGCCAACCAGCCCAACCAGCCCAGCCATCCAGCCATCCCGTCCATCGAACTATATCTTTGTCCACTGTCACGGTCTATTGCCTTCGCAATACACTTGCACCGCATTTAAATTGCAACTTTTTGTGTCCATAGGCAAGCGCAGGGCAATTTGTATAAAAAAGTATCTATACGCTTGAACATACATATGTACATATGTATATGCATGTACTATATATAGATACATACATATATTTATTTACAATAGCATGAATATATGTTGAATGCGAGAGTGTGGGAAAAAAGTGGTGGGAGATTGTTGGAAAGGGTGAGGCTTTACCTTTGCATGGATTTGATAATGGGGATACATACGGTACAGACAATGTATGTCACGGCTAAGGTTCTTTGTGACAAAGTATGACTTATTTGCTTACTAAAATATACATACAAAATTAGTCATCAGTCATTGCGTTATTCAAATTTGACTTATACCTATACAAATTTGGCATTCTTGAGGCACATTTCCCTCCAAGTACCCATGAACAATAATTTGAACAGCCAGAGTAATTCGAATCGCCCAAATAACTATTACCGAAATCGAGGAGCGGAGCTCCTAGGTGTTCCGCGTGCTTTAATTCAGTAAAGCGGTTATATTGGTGCTTATGACGATAGCTGATGATATGATACAAAAAGTGGGGGTATAAACAAAACAAAAGTTGCAGACAGACAGGTAGACAGACACAGACACAGACACAGACATTTTCGTCCGTCTGTCAAGCCAGCAGTAAACTTGACTATTGATACAAAAGCGAGTGATAAATGTACAACAAGATGGCAAGTAGTTGGTGGGTGGATGGTGCCGGAAATGTGCGTGTTACAATACAGCATGCACACTCGCACACACAAACACTCGCAGACTGTGACAGTGCGACAGGGCGACAGTGGTCGCTACGGTTGCCTCAACTTCCGCTTCATATGCTGGGTGTTTTGGTGTGTGCGTGCAAGTGTTTGGCCGCAACAAAGAGGTTTTCACAACATCCGCCGTCACATCCGAATCGGCATCCGCTAGCAGCAGCACTACTGCTTCCAGTACAGCCGCCAGTAGTCGGCCGTACTTTATCAAATGAAGTAGAATAAACTTTACGCAATTTTAACTCCCATTCTTGTTGCTCCCAAGTACTCTCATACACAGCAGCTCTGTGTCCTCCTCCACCTGTCACATATCCGTGAAGTTACTTCAGAAAGGAGTTAACAAAAATATATTTGCACGCAAATATACATGCGTATTAGTTAGCACCAGCAGCAGCATTCTGGCCTATCTTTGGGTAAACTCCTGCATAAAGTGGACACTATTCGGTAGCCAATAGTTCACACTTGTTGCATTACTTCAGATCAAATTACCCATCAGTATTTTGTAATGTTCAAACGAAAAAATATGTATAAAAGGGCCTCTACCGACAAGCCCATTCCACCAAAAATTAATCATGATATGAGTACACATGCATTCTTCATTCTGCATCCGCATTCGTTACTCTAAACATAATTTGTTTTGCATTTTTTGTGCATGGGGGGGGGGGCAGTCAGTTGTTAAAAGGCCAGCCCTTCTTCCGCTCCATCTATTTGCAACATCGTCACTACGTTCCGTTGCCTCTAAGCTGGCGGCGGCAAAGGGCCGTGGCTACCGTGTGGCTGTGGTCGTGACTGAGGACAAGGCCCTACCTGGAGTCGGGGAGCGTTCGTTTGTGTCGCTTTTAATATAATTAGGTACTGTAAATTGCATTATTTTATTTTTGTATTGGAAAACAACAAACAAAAACAACAACAAGAACAGCAGCAAATTGGATGTCACTGCAACATCATTGTAGTAGCTGACTTTACGTCCAATAATTCGATTTGTACACTGGGCTTTTTGCCGAGCAAGAGGCAACGGCAAAGGCATCGGCGGCAACTGCAGCCCGATCAATGGGGACGTACGTCGACCACCCTTTTATGGCACTTTGAGTGCATTAGATCCAAATTGGCTGGCAGCAAACTTTATTATTGCGGTTGAGTACGGGTATGTGCACATACATACATATACACGAACATCCCTGTTGCGCCTGCTACGAATAAATATATGTACGTACATATATGTATGGTATTTACAAGATAAAAAACTGCTCTGAAATCATCGCGCAGAGAAGGTCCATCCAACGGTAATGTACTTTCAGGGTTTTGTGTAAAAGCAGAGAAAACAATCACAAGCCAGAGGAACAGCCCATGTTAATAGCGCCCAAAAATCTAGAGCTTTAGCAAAGCAGTTAAAATCAGAATGCCGTGAATAAGATAACACCCAAATATCTCAGGCTCTGCTGCTTTTGGCGCTTCCAACAAGCAAAAAAGTATGAGCAAAGCGCAGAATTCATGCTCTTAGTTCTTCTTAGTCTAGCAACATCTTTACGGATCTTTAATATTGCAATTTTGCTGGGTTTCGGCCCACCCGATCTGAAAACCATTGAAACCCCAAGGCCTGTATACGTATTACGCCCTGCAGGCATGCACCAAAGTGGAATAAAATGTTATCACTTTGCAAAATTGGTCATTGGCAAGTGCTAATATGGGTCTAACCCAAAACACACAATATCTATATGTGTGTACACGTGCCTATATATTGTATTTACATCAGACCGGTCTCGGCAAGGCAAAATCTTCACAGAAACAACCCCCTTGTAGCCCGCCGCCGTGTAAATGTAATGTGATTTTGCTCCTCGCACAACTGACGCCCAAGAAAGTGGAAAGACAAATACCCCGAAACCAAAAGTCGTGTCCTGCAAACATCGTTTTCGGTTTGATTGCCCCACCACTGCAGTGGTAGCTGTTAACAACATTTCTATACCTATGCCCCACCCCCGCCCCCCATCATCGTTCCTGAATCCTGGTGTCTGATTCTCTCGCCTGCCACTGCCGCTGCCTCTGCCTCTGCCTCTGGCCCGGACCTCCTTTAGGACTCTGACTGGATGCTGCTTGATGTTGCTACTTCGTGTGACTTGGAAAACTTCCTGGGCTTTTCATTTTACGGTTGAATTATGGAAAGATTTCAAGTTTAAAATGTACAGAAGTGCACAGAAAGGTAGGGTTCTCACCTGCCTATGCAAATATGTATGTATGTATGTATGTATGTCCACACAATTACATAAATTTGTTGGTCTCCTCTCCAAGACGGGTCTAAAAATTGACTGGACCAATAAATTACATCTGTTTCTTACAAAATTCTTTAATCAGGTTTAAAACAATGGATTTTTTGCCTACATGGGATAGAAACTTTAAGAATTTAGTTACCAAATATTTAATTTCGTACTACATGAAAAACTAATTTAAAAAATTTAGCTATAGGAAATTGCGTCAACCAGCAGTGAGGGTATTTAACTACAAGAGTCCGCGAAGACAGGCAATCACAAAAGCTAAGTGAGCGAGATGAATCATATTACATAGGAGCGCATTTTGTGGAGGATTGCCTTCTAGTCCGTCAATAGAAACTGTCAAGTTTTTCGCCGATGATATCATGGTCGAAGGACGCTCAAGCACCATGGCGGTGGCGGCTTTGGAAGTCTCCGTATCGAACAGATTGCGCTCTGATTGAGTCAACGACTCACAGTCACTGTCACTGTTATCACTGTCAACTTCACAGATAGAGAACAGCCGATCCTCCGAGCGCACCCTCATCACGGACAACTCTGGCGTGTTATATGATCGCGAATGTTCATTGTGGACGTCATTAGCAGAGACTGAACGGCACATCAAGTCTCGAGCTGGGGCACTGAAGTTGTAAAATTGTGCTTCAGTGTCCGGTTTCAGAGAATTTTCCGTTTCCTATAAAAACCAATGTGGTAAAAGGGACTCCCCTTAGCAAATTTTATGCCCACTACTTACAATGAAGCGTCTCAGGTTAGCTTTGAACACGGATTGAGCAACGTTAGCTTCCGGCTTGGCCATTTGGGTCTTACTATCATCTGCTGTGCAGTCTTCGTCACTAAGTATAATACGTTGGCCCGTAATATTTGCGGCTTGAACGGCTTCCTTCAGCTGAATCATTGACGGATTAGTCAAATTTATAATGCTATCCTTCTGTCTGGTCTCAACACATTCATGGAAAAGTTCCAATAGACCACTTTTCTTCTGCAGTTTTTCAATTTTAAATACATTTGTTGAAACTATTGGGAATGAGATTTTAACCTCTGCGGTTCGGAGCAGTCGATTGTTTCGTCTTTCATTTTGTTTTTTCTGTAGTTTTTGCTGAGCGCCAGAAAAGATAACCTTAGTGAACCTATGAACAAGACGATGAATGTGGATCAAATTGCAACAAATGTACTCGCCAATTTGATGCTTACAAACTCATCCACATGATGGCTTATTGGCGTTTATCTTCTCGTTTCTTTGGATATTGTATGTGACGATTTTGTTGTGATTTGTCAGTGATGTGATTCGGTACTGAATACTGTGAGCTCTGATGCTAGAATGTTAATGCCAAACATACTAGGAATTACATTTGAATTTTGATATTGTACTCGTATATTCTCACAGTTTCAGAAGGCTTAGAAATCAACACATCACAAATGACTATCTTTTTCCCAAAACCAGTTATATGGAAATAAATTGGTAGATGTCTTGCAGTCAGGCTTTATAGTAGGTACTTACATATAGCTTATGAAAGCACAAATCTCTGACATACCATGACTGATCAATTCATGTATCGCTAAGGTTATTGTCATACCCTTGAGGAGGGTATTGTATAATTGTTCCTGCAGTTGCTGTGGAGATAGGAATAGTCGTTGACTGCTCTATAGAGACAAGAGAGTGCGTATTCTGAGTATACAAACTGAGTGAAGGGTTTCATGATGTCAAAGCACGTGGGCCTCGCCAGAAAACAGTCTGAACTGTTCTTTTAACCGTTAGATTATGCATATATCTGAGCAGATGAGTTCCAATAATCTCTCAGCTAATCTCTCAGTCATATAAGGAATCGTTCAAAGACCCAGGCGAAATATAGATGTATGTATATGTACATATGTAAATATATTGTTGATGCAAATTTAAGGGCATAGAAAATTCGGTCCTCCGAAGTAAGCTTCCTTCCGCTTTTTAACAAATTCTCTTTTTCGATTTTTTTCCCTCTGTTTTGCTGTTAGTCGCTTGATTCACGCTGTCCTGTCCTCTACCCGCAGGATGAACTGTCTGCATTTTATAAGCAGTAAAACAGACAGAACAGAAGCCTGGCCGTGCCACGGCTGACGGCTTAAGTGCCACCCCTCGCGTACTGTGCGCACAGAATTTGCTTCCGTTGAAAGTAAATTACATTTTATTTGATTTTAAGTGAATTATTTACTTGCTTGTTTTTGTCACTGTTTCTCAACCAGCGACAATATCCATATTTCAATACTCTTGCAAATTTATATAGTACTTACATAGTATTTGAAAATATCCAAAACTCATCATCATCTTTGCTTTCAGCCTACGCTTCTCAGTGGCCTGATGCGTGCATCCTGATGACTACTTCAAAGAGAAATTCGATATTTCGACATAATACTATGAAGATACATTGAAAAGCGCACTTCAATACATATGTACTCGTATGTATGTTGAGTAGCTGCATATCAGAAGTGTTGTTGAAATATGTGGAGGATAAAAATAAATCTTATTCGCATGCTTTCACTTTCTTACTCTCAGGAAAACCGGAAAACAGGAGAATATCCGACAAGAAACATTTTTCTACACAGTCTAAATATTGGAAGGACAATATATTCTGCAATATTGCCTTTGCGGATGACCACTGACTTTTATGCAGACATTGGAGCATTAAATCATGAGTAAATCAAAAATGGAAGGAGTTGTGAAGCGTGACGTATTTTCCCACAGGAATGAATGCAGCGCCTGGACTACCGTACCGCCCCGTAATTGCTGCGACCCATACAAATACATATGTATGTATGAAGTACGTATATATGTATTTTCAATCTAGTTTTATTCATTTTCTTCGCTATATCCGACTTCATATGACACTTTATTTTTTGTTTATAAAAATGCATTATTTTCTTATCTGCTTTTGTGACGGAAAATACTCCCAGGCAAGATGTCCAAGAAAATCGTATCAAACATAAAACCATAGCCTACGTTATAGAACGCTGCACCACAGAAACCTCCGGTCTCGAGCCCGTAGGTTGCACAAAATACTCGTATTATACATGAAAGCTAAAACTGTCACGGCAGTTTAATTAGTATCTATGTAGGCTTAGAGGTTTCGAAGCGGTTTCTCCCCATCTACGAATATCTATCTATACCCGCGTTAAAATCCAAGTTGGATATGGAAACCAAATATTTATTTCGAATCTTTGATGCGAAAAATCCACATTGAAATCGGGTTTCGTTAACAGCGGGCTGTTATGAATAAATCAACAAGTTCGTTGTCGACGAAACCTGCATGCTGTGTGGAGAAACAACAAATGCAAAAAAAAACTGTGACAAAAAATAAGATAAATGTATGTTACCTACCTAAATACTTTTACCCCAATAAGGCTTACAATTTCAAGAAATGAAAGGTACGAAATGCAATAAAATATGATTTAATAATTTGTAAATTTATCAACCGCTTACTTGTAAGTAAATAGCAAATGGCCGTCGTTCTGCCAAAAAAAAGTCCCGCGGACACGAGCTTGGTTTCAAGATGTGGGCAAGTGTTTTCCTTTGTTATTATCTCCTATGGGAAAATTGACTCTCAATAAAAACTATTCTACAAGATCTCTCTAGCATATTGAACTATCTTAAAAAAATCAATATAAGCAAAAATAAGGTCGTAGTTCATAGTTTTTGGGGGCTTCTTAGCGCTGGCAGTCAATTAATGAGAAGCAAAAAGAATCGAATGCAATCTGAATATTTATTTGCAATATAGTTAGCTTTGGGTGGTTACTTGTACAACTTATAGATTCATTTACGATGGCCAGCTCCTTTTCCGATTTCAGCGTTGCGGCTGCGCACCGACAAAGTCTGTGCGGTGATGGGCATGTGACCGCGGCGACAGTCCGGAGCACGTGTATCGTCAAGCTTCTTGGTCGCGGCTGCAGCTGCGCCCTTTTCGCGCTTTTCCTTCTCTAGATACCGTGGAGGACGCAACTGGTCGCGTGATCCGAGCTTGTGCTCGCCGCATTTGGATGTTATCGACTTGGTGCTAGCATTTGATGCCTTTGTGGCCACTGTAAAGCGGCTGTGGGCACTGAGCAGACCTTCCTCATTCGAAAATACGTCAGTTTTGAGATCATCGTCGGGTAAGGGCATTGTGTTCAATTCTTTCACGTCCAAGCGACGGTGCTGTTTGCCGTTTGTGCGAAGTGACAGCAAATCCTCGTCTTCGTTATTATCGTACTGATTGGACTGCATAGATATACCATCAAAGCTGCATCTAAAAGAGCAAAACATGATACCTTAATCTATATACTTTGCTTCATCTATCTGTTCTTACTTTTTAAGGGCATTTGTGAGATAGAGTACATCGGTGATATCTTCCGTTTGTATGCCAGTGCTCGTGGAATAAGTGTCCGGCGACTGCACAATCTCTTCCTGTGTTTCCTCCGACGGGTCGTGCAACACAGAATTGCTGTCTTCCAAGTCAGACTCTGGCACGGGGTCACACAATGGGTGATGCGAATGCGAGTTGTTGCTGTTGCGTTTCAGACTGACTTTCTGGTTGTTTCTTTTGGATACCAATACCGGGGGTCTGCCTGCTTTCGATTCCAGTGCCTTGGGACCCTGGCGGCATATAGCTGGCATCCACTTGGGACGCACTGGTTCCTTGGCGGCTAGTTTTTCACTTGTTGTTTTCTCAAGCAAGTGCAAGCTCACTTTATTCTCCATGAGAAAATTGCGGCCCTGAGTAGCTCGCGGCTCTGCAAAAATTGCTTTCATAATGGGTATCGGGCGAATTGGTGTGTTGGACATTATCCGATGACACCAAGTACCGTACTGATATAAGAATTGTATGTAATAGGAAATAATGAATATTTTGTAGCAGTTAGTCGAAATGTCTCTATGAATGTTTTTTGTTTTTGATGTTCGATGACAAATATCGAAGTGTCGTCTAATAACTAAAAGAATCTTCTCTTACCGTAACGTCAGGTCAGGTCATACTTGGCATACTCCTTTAAAAATAAAAGGTTGAAATCATTGAAATGTTGTTTCCTAAAAATTTGTAATCTTCCCGTCACAACTACTCAAAAAACGAGGGGGAACGTTGTGAGTTGCTGCGGACACCGCATCTCTACAACTCTCCTTTAAAAATAAAAAGTTGAAATCATTGAAATGTTGTTTCCTAAAAATTTGTAATCTTCCCGTCACAACTACTCAAAAAACGAGGGTGAACGTTGTGAGTTGCTGCGAACACCGCAACTCTACAGTTATACCCGATACTAAGTCAGTATAAACGACACGACAAAGAGTGCGAAATTCTGAGATATACTTTTTATAGTGAGATCTAACAGAAGTGCGGATACCAAATTTGGTTACTCTAGCCTTAATAGTCTCTGAGATTTGTGGCCCCAGATTTTCGTCCTTTGCGGGGGCGGAAGGGGGTGTGGCGAAATTTGGACACGAAACGGTCAAGGTCCGATATCACAGGAGTGTGGATACCAAATTTGGTTGCAAAACCGACCATGAAACCTGTGTGTTAGAGAGAGACAGCGCGAGAAAGAATGAAATTGTTTTATTGATTCTGGCTATAATAATTACACGATCTGGTTGAGATTTTACATTCTAGAACATATAGTCACCCTCTACGATTCTGTGGTTTTGGTTTTATCGTATCTTTAAAAATGTAGATGCCACAGATTTTCGTCATTTGTGGGGCAGAAGTGGACGGGGCGAAGTTTTGAAATATTTTTGTAGCAGTGACATATCACAGAAGTCTGGATCCAAAACATCGCACTATGGTCCGAACGACCACTTTTGTTGGCCAAAATTAATAACTCCCGAACGGAACAAGATTTTTTCATTTAGTTTTTTGTATTGGCTATATATAATCAATAAGAAATGGATTTAAGAAAAAAAATGGGTGTGGCACCGCCCCTTTTTTTAATAATGCATATTTAAATTTTTAGTTATAGTTGTACGAGCTAAGTCCCTCCAACAGTTTTCCAGTGGAATCCGTCTACACAATTAAGACCTTCCTTAATCCGCTCGATGTAGTTCCTTGCTCGTTCGTTTTATTTCGTATATATCTCTTAAATCTAGTGATCATAATTCAGATCGTTTTGGCTCGATACTATTGATACTATCGATTGCGCTTCTTTATACGTACATAATGTAACGCGCCAACTTCAAATTAATTCACAATTTTAGTACTATTTACATATTAATTCAAATCTTCAAATTGTTAACCATTATAGTAATTAACCATAGTAATTTAATCCTATATTCTATTAAGGGGCGTCAACAATAGTGAAAAAAAGTATTAAGCAGATTTTATTTAAGAAAACGGCGTTGCACGACTAAAAAAAATTTTGATTGAAATAAAAATAAAATCGGTTAAAGGTTTCCATAAATTATTTCCGAAATCCTTGTCTGGAAGCAAGGTTAACGCCTCGTTAGGTGAGATATGTGCCGGCTCTCCGACTGGGTCCTATACAGCCTTACGAACTTCGTTAGCATTCTCTGGGCATAAAGATAAAAGTAGTGAAATAAAGGCTTGTGGCCAATCCACATATTTTCGTTCCAACATCTTTGAATTTTACCGGCATTTGTTCCAGTATGTTGCCAAACGATAACAAATTTTCTTGCTGGTATCTTCAAAAGCTTTATTAATTTCATATGATATGTCGCCTTAAGATCCGTTTTCAAATAATTGATAATTTTACCCTTCTCTGAATTCCATACGGCAAACAAATCTGCATTTTCGAATTTGAGGTTATGCTCTATTAATGCAAATTCCAAGAATTGTGGTAAAAAGTGGCATTTCTAACTATATACATTTCAAAAAGAATTTATTAATCTACGACACAGAAAAGGTTTCAGGGTGGGACTAGGTAGGACTCACTTTGTACACCTTTTCAAAAATTAGTTTTCATTACAAGTTGGCACATGTTGAAGGCCTCACTTTAACCTTCAATTACAAAGACATCACAACTCTAGAGACAGTTAAAAACTTAAAACACGTAGTAAGAACCCGACAGATTAAGATTCATCAAAAAAATTTAATCACGTCTCGGCGTTTTTCAATTTTTGAGAGATCTAAAACGGTTATTAATTTGGCACTTTTTCCCTTCACGTGCTTTACTATAAAAACAGTTGGGTTGCACAGCTGATTTTGCGAATGTGGCGCCATCTATGGAAATTTCTGGTACGCAGATTTAATGGTCGATCTTTTTCTAATGCAGAGCGATCAAAACCAGGTTTCAGTTTTGACTTTGAAAAATTAGGTTTTGGCCAACAAAAGTGGTCGTTCGGACCATAGTGCATCGTTGCTCTAGCTCTTATAGTCTTTGAGCACTAGGCGCTGAAGGGGACGGACAGACGGACGGACGGACAGACGGACAGACAGACATGGCTCAATCAACTCGGCTATTGATGCTGATCAAGAATATTTATACTTTATGGGGTCGGAAACGATTCCTTCTGGACGTTACACACATCCACTTTTACCACAAATCTAATATACCCCAATATTTTAAGAAAGTATTTATTATTAAATTGAAATAAGGAATCTCTGGCTTGGGAAGAGCTTTCCTAGCGCGAATAGACAGGAACCAACTATCGGGCGAGACTTGATAATGTGAAAGTCACACAGGAGAAAGTATACGATGTCTTGCACAGTGGTGGTGAATCAGCTCTTGTGGATGAGGCTAAACAGCAGAAGCAGCAGGACACCTATCTCTCAGGTGCAGGTGCAGTAACAGAAACAAGTGCTATGGTTGCTATAGAAGATAGGCCCAAATCAAAATGCACCGAGTGTCGCCACAGTGATTCGTCTGACGTCTCCGCCTCTGTGGCGAATTATTACTGAAGCATCATCCCCGTTCATTAGCCGGAGCTCCAATGTACTGTCTTGTACGCTCTGACGAATACGCCAATGCTGATTCCATCGAGCACTGTAGGATGTGAAGAATCTTAATCAATAATCACCTGGCCTACGCCAAATCTATCCATGACTCGCTGCTCTGGTCGAACACAGCTGGGCACCCTGGGTTTAAGTCCTTTGTCGCAGAGTTTGTGGAGCAGTACCAATATGACTGATGAAATCACATCCATTCTGGTGGTCTTGTGTAGAAATCTGTATGAATTCTGTAGAAACTCATATACAATTTTTAATAAATACAATTTTGGTGTTGGTTAGAGCTCGTTGGATCAGGAACTAAATCTTACAGAGTAAACACGATATAACATCCCCTGATATCCCAATTCTCAGTCAATTTCACCTGAAATTATCGCTTACAAACAAGGGCATACAAAACTTGATTCTGGATTTTGTAATGGAAATACACGGTATTCCAATAATGATATGAGAACTTTCCATAAACATTTCCACAATGAGGACGGAATGACTTTGAACGAGTGTGCCGCTAAGAATTATTGTAAAATCTTTCATAAAAGGGAAAATGAAGAAACAAGGAAATTTAAATATTTACATATTTGTACTTGCGAGTGTACTCTATTGCAGTACCGCACTTGAGCTCAGTCGGAAGACACCATGAGAGCATCAACAGGAGGCAAGGAAGCACTCACGCCACGCAAGATTCCAGATCAAACCAATTTTGTTTTCTATACGGATTTGCATGATATAAAAGAACATTAAAGTTGAAAAGCGGCGTTAAAAACAATAAAACAGTGAAGAAAAAATCGATAAGGTGTTTCAAAGCAAGACAGGACCCCTACCAAAACACCAGCAAGTTGGGGATATTGGGTGAAACCGTATACGTACATACATATATATGTAACTACTTATGTGTTGCGGAGGGTAATATTATACTCAGAAAAAGTTTCTTGATGCATGTATTATATGGCCATTTCCACTTGTCGCGAACGTACTTTCGTACGCTTTTGATGCACAACAAAGATAGAAAACAAAAATATACCCCAGGTTTTTTATCCGATTCGATAGCATATTGTTAGCACTGTGTTTAGTACAAAAGATGGCGTTTATCGACATTAGGTTTTCATAATGATAGCCATAAACAAGTGGTCGCGAGCGTTCGCGAAATAAAAATCGACTTTGATTAATCTATTAAAATGCCTAAATCTGCGAAACGGCACGGAATATTCTAAAGCGTTTAATTTATTTTAAAAGGGGATTAATGCTGGTTTCTTTTGAGTATTTACACAATAAATTATCTATATTATTTTTTATACCCGATACTCAACGAGGCAGAACGTTGTGGGTTGCTGCTGCGACCGCAACTCTACATTTCTCGGACTCATCCGTGTTATTTCTCTTTGCTTACTTACAAGTATTTGGGCGCTTCAGTTGTTGTTTAGCAACTGTCGCTCTTGCTCCCGCTGTCATCGAGTTTTCATTTTGTCTCAGTTAAGTTGCTAATAAACGAATCGATTCATTTATTTTCCTTTCGATTCGCTTGATTTTCAAGGGTAGGTGGTTTGGCTCTACCGCTACCTCTACCTCAACCTCTACTAATACAACCCACTCCTTCGAAGTTCTTTGGTGTATGTTTAGACCAGGATATGAGGATATGACCAGGCAAAAGGAGCGACAGCGACTCACCGATCAAATGAACAAATGAGTTGTGCTTAGTCAGGTATCAAAAATTCATTTGTTCGTCCTGTCGTTCATGTTTGTGTTGCTGTTGCTGTCCACGTTTTATGCATGAGGTCTTGCTTACCCATCGCACCCACTTGTTATAGACCATATTGAGGCATTCAAGTGTCAAATGAGCCTCACAGATGGCTAAGGACGACGTGCACAGTCCACAGACTTCACGTCCTCTGAGGCTTCGGTGAGTCTCCCCGTCCCCGCCGTCCCCCCGACTGGTTCATCTGCTA